GCCTCTGGCTGCAATTGTTATCGTAGCTAATGCTACGACGACCAACTGCCGCCCAGTGCTGCAGCCGTTGGTCCTTGTTCGTAACGTGTATCCAGTGTTGCACGTGTTCTTGCTTTCAAGCTATACTATACCGCCTTCGTCCTGGTTGCCGCTATAGCCGTGATGGGTAAACTTCTCAGCTATAGTTGGCAAGCGTAGAGTTTGCGTGCGTGTAGCAGGACGAGAATAGAGACTTTAGTCAAGTAGAGGACTATTGCCCTCTTTCATCTTAGTTAAGGGAAAAGAGCTTCGCACTCATTCCAGACCCTTTCCCGGGTGGCAAAGGGGGACAGTCGACGGTGCGTGTACGGTCGGCGTAACGGTTAGAGAAGAGACTATATCTTGCTGCGCCATCGCTGCTACGCCGCTCCCTATGGCTGCCTGGCTGGAAAGGTAGAGCGGACCGTTGGCTGCTTTCCTGGCAGCCTCTCTGTCTGTCTGCCGCTTCGACGAGTAACAGAAAACGCAATTAACAACAGCGGATATTACCGCGACTGGCTGAACTTGCCTCCAGGCACCATCTCGAAGGCCCAGACCTTCAGTTTACCGCTACAGTGCGCGCCGCTAGAGCCGCCCTGGGGGCCGTAACCCCAACCGTGCTGTGCTTCTACGCTGCACTATTGGTGGCGCAGATGTTGGCCCCGCAGCGGCTACCGACTAGGCAGACAGGTTTTCGGCCAGCAGGCAAAGTAGTCACTTTTACTGCCTAAACTTTCCCATACCGCTAACCGCACAAGTATGCCGCCTAAGCGTTCCGTCCCTACTGCTGCTGATGCTGCCCGCTGGCTGACGAGCGAAGCGCAGAGTGGTCCTACAAAGCTACAACGAACAGCTTCGGTGGCATAAGATCTACGCGCCCGCGGGGCTCCAAGTCTGGAACCGTTGCGACCGTACTAGCTAGCATTAGTTAGCTACGGGAGTGAATGCATGGGCCTGGGTTGCATTCTCGTTTATGTGCTTTTACTCCTTTTGCGCTCAGTCTATTCGCCGCCGACGGTTGGTCATCTAACGTCGCTCCTTTGGTTGTTGTTATTGTTGATGTTGTCGCCGTCAACGCCGCATTTATACGCCGCGCTTGGCCCCATCGGCAGGCAAAGCAGCGATTGAAACAACAGACCTTATTTAAGTAAGGCAAAAAAAGCTAAGTAGAGCTGTCGAGTGTCGTACCGATGATGGTGCTAGTGGAGGTCTCTCCTATCTGCATCGTTGCTTGCATTAGAGAAAAAAGATAATAAGAAAGAGGTATTGAGGAATTCAACCATTGCTTAGGAAGAAGTTGTTACGAAAAGCTCTCGCCACCAAACACTCCCTATGATTGAATTTATCTTCTTTGCATTCTTCTCGAAGCACTACGGCGCCTGGCATGTTAGTTCCCTTCCATGACGTTTGTCTCAGTATTTTCCATACACCTTTACAGGTAACATATAGAACTGATCTCGCGCTCTTGCGCCGTTTGTATCCTATCCGCGATCCATCCAGCGCACGAAGGCATTTCCTAATTCGTCTAGGAACCTCTCCTGTTCCTTTCCCATCAACTAAATACTTAAGAAGCATTCTGATCGGCCGGTTGTGCTTGTGCTACGGTTTCTGTCTCCACATATACGGGGTAGGCAGTAGGGTTTCGCGGAAGAGGAAAAGGAGCAATCTAATCACGTCGCTTATTTGTCATTTATAACCAAATTATCATTTTGTCTTTCCGTACTTGGATCCTGAGCCGCTCCAATGACCAGCTGGTTGGCGAGTCGGCCTAGGAGAACCAGTTTGCTTCTGCAGTCAGGGCTTGAGTTGGTCCCGGCAGCACAGAGAACGGACAACCATGTGGGTATAGCTGGATATGTCTGTGGGAAGAGTAGAGGGGTCGAAAAAAGAGGAAATATGAAGCCCACTTGCGTAGCGGCATCAACTCATAATGGACATCTCTCGTTGCGGTTGGGTAGCCAGGCTGGCTCTATGGCGGCGACCGTAACGCTCACTAAGTATGGGGGGATGACGGACATCAAGCATCACACAGAAGGCGGGAGTACAAACCAGGAAAAGGCCCTGTAGAAGAAACGGATGCTAAGAGACGGAGTAGAAAACGGTGGGGGTATAGGAGGTAGAATGAACAACACTTACGGCGTCGCTCAAGAAAGAGGCAGTTAGAAGGAGGTGTTATGTAGAATTCATACTTAACGAACGTAAAAATCATTAGGATGAACACTGACCATTGGGTGGTTAACGGTGGTTGTACTGTTACACACCCTTTGGGATACAGCGGCAGATCACGAAGTTCATCCATTGGCTGTGTTTTTCTTGGTTCTAGACATAATACGCAGGTGGGGAAGGGGGGGGCAAACAAATCCGCAGGCAAAGGAAGCACTAGTGAAGGCTCCCAAGTAAAGGGTTACGAGTGGTCACCACATGAAAGACCTACTGCTTTGTTTCGCGTATATCAGATCTATTTCCTATTGCGGACCCGCGCCAGACACATTTCCGGTTAGGACCGCGGTAAAGAGCTAAGGGCTTGGTTGCTTTGCGTCTTAGCAGCGTAAACAGCCTTCCTTTCTCTCTACACTTTGCTGTATTTGTCATGGGACAGACAGACAGACACCCATAGGAGGTGATGAACGAAGTAAGCGGTGCCGTATCTTGGAAGCGTTTCGAGAAGCGGCTGCAGAGGTTTAATGCGATCTCTACAGCAATGACTGTCGCCCAGCTCTAGACTGGTCGTATCGACGGTCAAAGTATGGATGGCCAAGGCTGAGTCGCTAGCCCCACAACGAACATCCGCTTAGTTAAAGGGCAAGGAGGCGGGGCGACCGGACATGGGTACAGCGGGATAAAACTGTGAGGTGCAGCGACAAATGCCGGATGTGGGGATACGAAACAGCGATTCTGAGATGTGAAACTACAGAAGCCTAGGAACCGTAAGCAATATTGACGGTGAGGCTGGAGGAAGCCATGCACGGCCCCCAGGAGACCTACAACTGCAACGCCAAAAGACTAGCCCATTCGATGCACTTGCAGCCATATTAACCCCTTCCTTGTCTCCCAGAAATCCTTCATAGTCCACAAGGCTTTCCGGGTTTAGCCCCCTCGTCCTGGTACGCACCGCCACACACAAGCTTTTGCCAACAATAAAATGAAGGGAAAAAGGCGTATCTCGTATAGATTGGGCCTAGCGGCGCTATACCACCGTGTATATCTCCGCGTTGGAAAAAAGACGCCTACGTGCTGATGCCAGCTGAAACAGACGGATAAACTAACAGACATGCCATGTGTAACTGCACCGTATTCTCTTGCTCGTTCTCTCTAAAATTTTTAATTCGGAACAAAAGTGATGAAGCGGGCTTATTTGTTGAGGGTCTACCACCTCTAAAACAAACAATAAATGGACTATATCCAATTCAGTCATTGCTTTCCATCTTGCACTCATGTGCACACAATAAATACATGGAAACTAGAAAAGAAAAGAAAAGAAGGAGGACATTAGTTGAGTGTACAATGTGTCTGACGGCGAAACCTGATGTAATTTTTCGTCTTGTCCGGCAGTGGCCATGGGCGGAAGACGGCGCTAGGATATTTCCAGCGAGCTTAGAAGGGGCAAAACTAATATAAAGTTCCACGAGACTACAACAAGTTTGGATTTTGTTCTCGGGTTAATTTAATTATTGGTAGCATGACTTCAAAGGGCGAAAATTTCAAATTTATGCATACACATAAACATCTGTCAAGACGTAAATGAAATCGGGGCCTATCCTTAGAAGTAACAGGGATTGTGCGTTCTTGTAGTTTTGTATGAAAAAGCTTCGTATTTTTTGAGAGTCGATTTCGGAACACAGTACCCAGATCAACGCAAATAGCCGTTCTTTCTGAAATAAAATGAACCAGTCATCGAGCTACTATATTCCTAGGCTATTAATATTCGGGCTGCTCGTATGATAACAGTGCTAACTGTGTATCTTAGCACAAATCGGAAGAGCAACTTTACGATCAGGAACCTTAGTGAAAAGCCTAGTGAAAAGCAGGTAACATCATGATATCATCGGCACAATCGTATGGCTAGCTATATGGTAAGACGTTGCTAAATACTGTTCGAACTTATGCCAATAGATGCACGGTGGTTCGTCTCATCGTTTATACATGAATATGCTTCTAATCGCTGAACGTCAAAAAAGCTCAGCGACGAACCAGTTCGCACCAGCTGACGAGACCAGCCAGACTGAAAGTCCTGCTGGATTTATGATCACGTCGGAAATAAAGGCCGCAAAGATCCCCCTAAGCAATCCATGGTTAGTCGGATTGGTCGGCTGAATGGCATCAAGCAACGGAACATCATGTTTATACTACTTCGGTAGGGGCTGCTGCACCAGCCGCTGATGCGATGGCCGCGACCAACAAGACAGAAAAAAGCACGTAGCCCGTCAATCGTTGCGCGTGACGTGACGCGGCCTGACCAGCAGCTAGCTGAGCGATGGAACAGGACCGTCTGAAGGCCTATCAGGATAGGACAACCGCATCGTGAGCATTCGTTTTGCAAACGCCGCACTGGCTACAGACTCGGCCACTCTTCCTCTTATTGTTTGCCAAGTATCAGAGTTTTCTGAATAGTGGTTAACGAAGTCGACAGCCTAGATAGGCTGTGTCAAGCAGCTTAAGCTGTGCTACCATTTCTTTTTTCATCGAAGGTGTCTGCTTGAGCTCGCGTTTTTTTTTTTTTACTTTTGTTTTCTCTTTCCGAGTCACTTTCATTTCTGATGAGATATTATTAATATATATATATATATATATATATATACTGTTACTATTAGGTACGGTACGCTGTCGCTGCCCAATAGCACAGGCGTTTCGCTTCTGCCGACCCTTGTCAACATTGACCATCCATTCGGTAACAGGACAAAAGGCAATAACAGTAGCAATAGAACAACACGCTGTGAAGGACACGAGTGCTCGATTTCATTCCGCTTGTTTTCTGTTTATAGGAGTTCGTTGCGACGATGTCAAACCTGCTCGAGGAAAAACATCAGGAAGCGTGGGCAGATTTGAACCCTGCCGAACAGAAGCAGATTCTCACCAGGCTCATGACAGCGCTCGAGGAGAACGCCGTCTTACTGTCAGACACGTTTACACAGGAGACCAACTACCCAGTCGTCAAGAATAACATCTGTAAGTGTTCCCTTTTTCTCTTTCCTCCTGTTTTTCGTCTCTATATATCTCGTTTTATTTTTTTTAATGCTACTGTAAAGTTCTGACATACCGTTCTTTAAAGGAAAGGATCTTTATTGGGCAAGCTTCTGTGAGTAAGCCTTACGTTTTCCGTGTGGCTATTGTCGTGGCTGATGTGCACCCCGACACTCGGTTCTTTCCCGCCACGTTTCTCGGCGCCTTTCGGACTGCATTTGCCGGCCCATTCATCGCCGACTTTTTTGTGCAGTTTTTGCTTTGAGAAGCGGGAGAACAGCAACAGGCAAATGGTGGCATGGGACAGCTGAACGGCTCTACGAGCAGGGTATGTTTCGGGATGGGGGGTGAACTCGGAAATGCGCGCTGACCGAGGTTCCTGACAACGGAACGCTGAATGGACGGACTCCTTAGAAGTGGTTTGTCTTAGTTTTTTGGCCACGTTGTTCCTATGGTGTTATTTCTTTACTCCCTTTCCTCTTCGCATCACTTACCAATACATAGCGCATGCCCACACCCAGCGGGTGTTCGTGCCAACATTCATTGTAAAATGCGAGAGAAGCGCCACTAAGGGGGAAAACTACAAAATGAAAAGTAGCGTGGACCGTCTGCTCAGGGTGTGTCTTCTCATGTCGCTATCTGGGTCGCCGTGCTCGAATGGCGAAGAAACAGAAGGAGACTGAGGCAGGCAGTGGCGATTTAACTGTTGGTACCTGTTTAAGTACTATTCTGGAATTGTTCTGTTCATAACTGCTTGTTCAAGTTCGTTACTTTTCAGCAACACAACATTACGCCTCCAATGACTTCAGTCAAAAGCTAATGCTGACTTTAATGTCGTCACCGTACCGCTGTTCTCGTCTCTAAATACTTGTCTTAAATTCGATAACGCATATAATGCGGTAATCAATTCAGCGATATGCAATAGGATGGTTTGGATAAAAACATTTTCTTTAGTTGAAGGAACAATAAGCCTTCGTTGAGACTGTTGTCAAATCTCCGTACTAAAGCCGCTTTTGTTGAAATCGTCAAAAACCTCGATTTAGTCCTTTCACATGTCTAGTAGAGCCAAATATGTACATACCTGTGTACTTGTTTCGTAAAAGCCAATCTCCACCCCGACACATGTGCATAATATCTACATATAACATTTTTGACCACTACTTGGCCCGCAGTGTTTCACGTACGGCTTAACGAGATCTTTGATCGTTGTCATCTTTGGAGGAGGTAATCTAGAAAGAAGCAAGTGATGTCCGAAGAAGTCGTCTATCGGTGCCTATTTCATGATGTTCTGATCTTCTTTAGCTGTCTATTGAATAATCCGAACAGGGTGTGGTTGTGAGACCGATCGTTGTCAAGTTAGTCGTAGAAACCAACAACCTGTTGTTTGCCTGATCAACAGGACGCGGCCGAACGTCCGGCGCGGTCGGTGTCGTGTCACGTTCACCATCATTAAAAGTGTGCATGGCAGCGGGTAACTCTCTGCAGGTGGGCGACGATGGGCGGCCCTCAGAGGAACATCCGTATGACGCAAGACTGCGGGCAAAGAAACATACGTTCGAAGAAGACGAGTAACGTCTAATGCAGACTGACCGGAGCATCGAGTAACGTCGCGGAGTCTACGATCATGTTGTTGTTATTATCGTACCCGCCTTTTTAGCGCCCATCAGTTCTTTCATCATTGTTGCTATATACTATTTCTCTTCTCTTTTGACTAAGTGAGGCCAATGCTGATAGCGCATATCTCGAGTTGGTAGGAAAAGGTAGAAAATGTACTGTTATGGAATGGTGGGTTCCTTCGCTTACCCGTCTAACCAGATAACTTTGGCACGTACAGAAAGATGCGCGCTTGTCACGCACAATGGACTTGACGCACAGAGGCGCCATAATTGGGCCCACTTTGGATGCATAGGCGAAAGCAGTTGACCAACCATGGTGGGACCGAACTTGGCAAGGTAGGCTTCTTCGCCCCGCCAGCTGCACCCACTTTACTTAGGGTGCTCGCCCTTTCCTCTTCTCCACTCAACCTACCTCATTGAATCTCCCATAAGATCTGTTTATTTTTATTTCTACAGTGCTGTCTAATCTCGTTCTATTTCTCCCTGCTCGCCTTTCCTGTACCTTTTCTTTGCCCTCGATCTGATGGTGTTAGTTGTCCATTCCATATGCGCAGCGCCTTGCTTAATAGAAGGCAAACGGTTGCATTTGCTGTAAGAGAAGAATGGTCTGCGGAGGTCTCCGTACGAGTATGTCCTTGAAGCCCGCTAGAAATTGAGCTGAAGAGAAGGCAATACAAATATTGACGATCAACTGAAAGCTGGGGGCTGTTCCCGTCTAGATAGAAAGCTCAATTCCCGTGGGTACAAATGGGTCTCGGTCTTACATCTGAATTAGGTACGGATCACACTAGGACACTATTTTCTTACTGCCCATGTGTATTTGCGGTATTATGTTTTTGTACTGCCGCCACTATATATATACTGTTACTTGTAGTAATTTCTTTTTTTTGCTTTTTTCCTTTTCAGTAATGTCTGTACGAGCTATCGATTCGTGGCGTAATATGAACGTATACTTTCCTTCGATTGCGGACCGCGAACGAGATCAAAATTGGTCAGCGATGCAGGATTCGATCCTACTTCCAATCGAAGCTATTCAGCAATTTTATAAGCAGAGCAGCCTTCGAAGGCTGATCTTCGTAGCCTACAACAACCTTGACACGTTTCTCGTTCCTGAGCCGGAAGGTCGCTTTCCTCGGCCGACGTTTGACAATCTGGCCAATGGCTTTATCAATTCACGAATTGTGTCAGCATCCATTGGACATCAGGGCGACAATCGTCTGGCATTGCCTTTGCAAGTCACACTACGCCATTTGCAAGAAGGCCTGCTTTCAGATCCGCAGTGCGTTTATTGGAACACTAATTCAGAGTAAGTGTCCCCGTCCATCTATAACGCGTTTCATTCGTACACATACAAACATCATATACCTGTTGTAGTAGTAGTAGTCGTCTGGCGCGGTTTAATATGACAGTTAAGTTGTTTAAATTTAAATCGAGAACAAAGTATTTCGCTAGGTTTCTCGGCTTCTTTCACCGTAGGTGATACTCTCTATATTGAAGCATTGACCGTTCTTGGCCGGTCAACAAGGCGTGAAAGTTAATGGCTTCTCCTAGTATTTCATGTATCTATCATATGTACAATGCCTGAGTAGTAGAACGAGGCGGCGCCGGATTACTAACATAAAATCTGCATTAGTATTACAGCCATGCCAAAATGATCATATCACATGTCCACACACCTTTGGCCTTAGAGTGAGCGTTCAAAATGGCTTATTGTTTATATACACTTCTAACCAGGCTCTTACTTCTCATTAGCGCCAGTGAGGCAATGCCTGTGCAAGTGTGTTCTTCATATCAAAATAACGATGAGGGAACATCTCATAACCGACGTCTCAGCACATTATTCGCTTGTTTAAGCTTTATATAAAAAAAACTAGTCCATCTCATCTCCTCTAGACAAATCCTGTTTTTCCTTCTGTTTTCAATCTTGTGTTTGCGTTAGTTACTTCCTGTGTTTGCCGCTGTTTCAACCGCTTCAGTCGGCTGGTTCTAGTGCCTGCTATGCCCTCTGTCTGCTTTTCAGAGATCTGTGATTCTTTGTCCCTCTAAACCCATGAGCAGATCCAGCTTTCCTTCAATGCGCCTGAATACTCTGACTTACCTCCTGTCGATGGTAGCCAACGCAATTCTTTGACTGATTGTATATGCCGGCTTTTCTCTTTTTTTTTCTATAAACAATTCTAATTTGCCTAAGCGTCCACCTTCCTTCACCTATCGACGATCTGCGTAATAATTTTCGTTGTGGCGTTTTAGCTTCGTCGCATTTCCATTCCCTCTACATGTTCGGCTGTTCCTACACTCAGCTAGCTTTTATACTGTCTCTTACCAGTGCTGCTTAGCTAGTGCCTGCCGCATCAAAGATGTTTACCTCCGTTAATTGCCGGCTGAGGTTGGGCTCATGCGACAAACTGACACTTCTTTATTTCATCTTTAGCTGCCTCGGAATAAGCGAGCCGCAGTGCACCACCGCTCTTTAAATAGATAAGCACCATTTTACACATAGGAAGGCGTTGGACGCAAAAGCATCGCTCGCTCGTGGCAATGGCATTGGCCCTCGCAGAGAAGGAGGATTAGAGTTTGACGGGGCATGCGTTTGGCGCTCGACCTGACACGCTGCCGCACTGATGTGACACCTAAGCACTGGGCCCTGAACCGAGATTGGCTTAGTTGATTTTATGCTATGGACCGACGATGGCTGGCTTTCTCATTAGTCTCTCCAGAGCCATGTTGACGCTATACTACGTTTAGGTAGATAGTTAGTGGGTCTTTTTGTGCTTCAATAGCAACCCAATCCAATCCGACCTCAGACTGCTAGTTACAAAGAAGTAGAACCAAGCCGACGAGGGCCGGCTGCTCCGACCTTATAGGCTTTACAGAGGAAGCTCTTACGCATACCGGACGCAACGCAAGACGAGACTTGACGGTCGTCTGAACAGCTCAGATTTCAGATTTAATTTCGTTCTGTGTTGTTCGCTTCCATCGCGAACCCTCTCGCCTTTTTCAATCTATCTATCTATCTCTCTCTCGCCCTCTCCTGCCGCCTTTCTCGCGGTTTTGTCGACCAAACGCGATTCCAATGGGCGCCAGCCAGACCACCGCTGTCAACGCCGTCTCGTAGCAGCTCTGGGCGCTGGTAATCTCGTTTAACGAGGTTGCTACTGCAGCCCCTAGTGAGGCTTGACTTGGCCGGGTCGGCTCCTGTCGGCCTCTTTTTATCGCGTTACCAACAATCCAACGCCAACAAGGCACATAGACAAGAGTCGGTACGCTGCACTGGCTAGCTGGCGAAAGCTCGGGCAAGGACGCCAGCAAGCGGGCGAAAGAATCTGAAATGTTGAGAAACAGAGATGGAAAGAATATCGTGTTGTTCCCGCACATTGCCAACACAAAGGACATGAAACTGAAAGCTCTGAATGCCATTCTACTTTGAATTTCCGACTCCCGAAGCCGGCTGGTCTCGGCTTCACCCGGCCGGGCTTTCGGCTCCGACTAACTCCAGTTAGTCTTCGCCGTGCTGGCGGTAATGGCTGCAGTAGGGCAAGTTGTTCTCACTAATGGGCGTTGTCGCTTTCGTCGTCTGCGTATAATATGTACTGTGCGGGCCCTAGCTTGATTTGCCTGCTTCGCTTCTCTAGCTGCAGTAGTGGTCGTAGTTGACTGTAAAGAAGCAGCTTTTAAGGGGGGCGCGCTAGTGAATGAATCGTTCGTGGTAGTGATGAAGAAAAGGGGTGTTCTAATGGGCACAGTTGGTACAAACGGCGGTAGCTGGCGAAGTGCATACCACGAACGCAAGCCAAAGGCCTTAGCTTAGTCAGCCCAGCTGTCCAGTAGTGTCTGTTAGCGTTATTGTGAACATCGCCACCATAACGACTATAGTACAAGTAACGACTATAGTAGTTCATTCATCTAATATAATCTGCTCTCATCCTGTTTCGTATTCCATTTCAGTTCATGGTCATCCGAGGGCTGCTGGGTACAGTCGAGCAATAGGTCCTATACCATTTGCACTTGCGATCATCTGGGCAATTTTGCAGTACTCATGGAAGGACCGGCACAAAATGACGCCGCGCAGAAACCATTTGACCAACGACTCGTCGTCACAATCGGCTGCTGCGTGACGCTCGGATTCTGCTGTATTGCCTTCCTGCTTTTGTTCTTATTAAAACTGCACAAAACAGACCAGCTATGGGTGCACCGGAACCTCGCGCTTAATCTACTTCTGTCCGAATTCATCTTTGTGGTCGGCATTAACCAGACGCATCAGAACCTCTTGTGCAGTGTGGTCGCTGCACTCCTGCAGTACTTTCTGCTTGTATCACTGACATGGACCTTCTTCGAAGGATTCCACGTCTACAACAGTCTGGTCGAGCCTATGGAGATTCACAAATCAAAACTGCGTTGTTACGCGATCCTTGCATATGTCCCGCCCGCGATCGTGACCGCTATATCGATGCTGATCGACCCCAGCAGTTTCGGCACACCAAAATACTGCTGGCTTCGATCCGATAACTACTTTATCTTCAGCTTCATTGCGCCCATGGTGGGAATTATCTTCGTAAGTACTGCTCATCGAACATTAATATTCCGCTTATACTAGACATTATCGATGCATGATCTGTGCCAATATCATGTGCAGATATAATGATAAAAGCGGTATAATTGTACTGTCTATTGCATTGTAATAGACAGCTCTGTATCTGCCGTGCAATACAAACGTTCATTTTGTACTATTCTCGTTCAATAAACACAATGACGCCGTATGTCGTATGTATATTTAACTTAGTTAGTCAGACTAGTGCCTAATTAGACGCACAATCTAACTGTTCATTACTCCTACATCTGTTTGCATTTCCGTTGTCCTGTCGAATAGGGCTGTGTTGTGTTCGTATGTATAAGTGTATGCATCCTTTGCAACCAGGGCGGATTGGCGACTAGCGTCAAAGGTAAAGAAGAAGATAAGGTACATGCCGTAAGGTCCTATCTATACTGGATCAGCGTTCTACTTGTGTTCATGACGTTCACATGGGCGTCCTCTGTCGTCTACGTCGCCAAATTCAACATGACTTGGGCGATTATCTTCGCTGTCTTCAACTCATTGCTCGGCCTATTCCTGCTTATCTTCACCTGCTGGAAAAACGAAGCGGTAAGTAGTAGCTTGCCGTCGAAGTTATTCTCGATATTTTCTAATCCTCATTTTCAACGGCATATTCATCGCGCGCGGTGCCTGACCATCCTCTTCCGTTCACTATACCATTGATAGTCATCAATGTTCCTTTCATTATTTGGTGCGGCGCTGAAGGAGCGGTCTGCGGAAAAATAGATCACGGTGGGCGCATGCCGTATCTGCTTCAAGATTCTGCATGATACGGTGATGAAATCTTCTAGTTTACTCCATCCTGCAGGCTCTCCTGTTCCTCGTTCACGCCGAATTTCATATCGCCATAACCACCGCCGTTGCTGCAGTCGCCATTGGTGTTATTATTAAACGATTATTAAATACTTTGCTCGCTTACGAGCAACGGTTTTTTAACTAGAGGGCGGGGATAGTCAACACGGAGGCAAACGGGCAAAGGAAGCGCTATATAGGAGCTCCAGGGGCTGTCCGGGTGATTACAGAAGCGAAAAGCTGCTATTTCGGCTGGTGCTACTTCAGTAGACGAAGCAGTGTTAGCCACTGTTACTGTGAAAACGAAAAGCAGCTCCGTCGCGGGCCGTGTGTGGCCCGCTTTTCTATAAGTGGGAGAAAATCAATATGGGCACAGTTGAGCCGTCTATAAGCCTTGAACGCCATTAGGGTACTGGTAAAGTTGCATGGAACAGGGACGGCGGCAGCGATGTAACACGGCGGCCCAATGTATCGCTATCGTTAACACAAACAACGTCAGTCGAATCCTACTATTATGCTATTTAAGCGATTATTTCCATAACTATTATTATTATTATTACTTTAATTAATAAGTATTTGTTGACACAATTATTATAACGAAAGAGTGAAGATATACAGCACTGGAAACATAATATCCATAATAATATTGTGTGAAACACTGATACTCGAAAGATGTATTGATTTCCGAGTCGAACGCATAATACTTTGCGAAATTCTTAATAATAACGTTTTCATACCTCCCGTTCTTCTCTTTTTTGTTTCCTTCAATTCCTCGCGCAGTTCCAGGACCGGTATGGACACACCCTTGCCAACTCGCGTTGGCTACCTAACTGCCTGAAGCGCTGTCTGTTCGGGGGACGAAATCAGCTGGCGATCGACGTGAGCGTCAACAGCGGAAACGGCGCCCCCCTTCATGTGCGTATTCCTACCCTGCCAATACCAGCCCAATCCTCGATACATCATCATACCTCCACCAACCCCACTTCCTCCTCAGTCAACCTACATCCGAACAGCCCGAACAACCTCAACTGTCTGAACATCAACCCTGGGGCGAACAGCTGCTTGGGGAGCAACCCACAGAGCCACTGCAGCCTCGGCCAGACGCTCTCTACCGGAGACCTGCATCCCGCCTCGGTCGCCGTGTTACGTCATAACGTGCACCCTACAGCGGTGGCAACAATGACGACTGCATCAACGTCTTCGCCAATGCAGTCGCTACCACTTGCGGGGGCTCATCAGTCGCTACAAGGCGGTTCCTCGCTCATGGCGATAATGGCCTCGTCCGTTGCAACGATTAGCAGTACCATCTGCCCCACAGTAGTTACCGCGACAGCGATGACGGCCTCTGGTAGAGTTGCGATGGCCGGAGGTTTACAGCAGGCGTCAGGTACCAACACGGCAACCCAAACAAATATTAGAGACTGGATGCAAAAGAAAAACGTGCTCTTTTCTGTTAGAATCTTTTCGCTAGGGTTTCTCTTAACTATTGCAAGTACTTCTGCTGGTGCTACTAACGGACTGCTATTTGGTGAGAGCAGCAAATGTAACAAAGGAGTCGTAATCATTCTTGTTTTTACTTATTTTTCTGGCTCGACTCCGGTGCTTGACCCCTCAGGTGCTTATTTTCCGTAAGCACTTTTATGCTGGTTCCTACAACTGGAACTTCGCATGGTATTAGTTCGGAAGCGTTCATCGGTAGCAGGCATTGTCTTCAATTTTCATTTGTTATAATACAGTCACTGAGCGGAAGAAGTTCGCGGTTGAGGTCCCTAGTGGATTCTAGTTTGGATGATATTCTTCCACCATTGACCTTCTACTCAAGAATACGCTGTGTTAACTAAATATCTTTTTCCTATCGTTACCATAATATGTACCATTTGTAGGTTGTTTACACACCTACACCCTCTTTTGCGCATCCTTGATAATAGTCGAAGTATAATCCCTTTCACTATCTCGTTTTGAGTTGCAATCTAATTTTTTCCAATGAGCAGAGCTAGTTCAGAACTTTATTTTGCCCCTCATCTCGTTAATTGGGAACACTAAACTCCGCTACGCTGCGTTGCTCCCACAATCACTTACTACGCTAACTCTGTGTCTTCAAACTTTTTTCACTCTTTAAATACTCTTTTCATTTGCAAATTCGACCAGAATGCATTGTTGTTATTTTAGATGGTCGCCGTGGTAGCGGGTCGCTGGTTATTGCTCTTCTGCGTAATGAATGTAGATCTTCTTTTGCACACGCGCGCACTAATAACGTTAGCAAGCCTTGACTCAAATGACTGCTCAACGAGAACGACTAATGGAGAATAAGGAAGCTTGTTATCAGTCAAGCACGAGTGCAATGCATCGCATTGGTACGTATGCAAACTACAGTTGAGCCAGTGCGACAAAGACACGCTAACGGACCAACTGTGGCTGCAGTCAGGGGTTTCCCGTCGTCTATTGTTACGTCAGGCAGACAGGCTTTTCTTCGCGCCATTTTCTACTGTTGCTTCGACGGCGGCTGTGTCTGTTGCTAACTTCGTTAAATTTTTTTTTCCCTAACCCTGTTAACTCGGTTTGGAGCTTGCTTGAAGCACCGCTATTTCATGCGTGAGCACTGCCTCTCGGTGTACTATAGTATATGCCTTCTCTGTGCGTCGACCTGTCCGTGAAAGTGTTGATGCAACCCTCGCAAATCATTCTCGTCAACACGTAAATCCTCACAACGACCGTAGCTTATTTTTTTTCTTATTTCTTCTGCCTCGTTGCGTTGCTGTTGCTACTGCTCCACCATCAGCAAAGCGCAAAGAGCAGCAGAGCTAGTGGCAGCTCTAGGTAAGTCTGGTGGCTTTGTCGTTTCGTCACTTACGTCGAGGAGGTGCTGCGTAGGGCGCCGCCCGGGGGTGCGTCACTTTTTTACTTGAGCCGAAAACGCGAAGCAGCGAGACTGGGCGAGCAAAAGAGATGATGACTCGGTATCCGTCCAACTCCAAACTCCCCTTGCCCCTCTCTCGATTTTCCACTCACTTTCTCTTTCGTTGTGTCAATTGCCAACATTCGAGCCTTCAAGCTACAGCTCTATCGTCCTATGTATCACCATCATTCAGCTGGCCATAGCTTCGGTGTGTATGTGTTTATGGGATGACACACGAAGAACATCTTAGGCTAATCCTTGATGGGCGTGGTGACGGCTTTCGATGACGAAGTAGTGATGTGTGCTATTTACTTTGATGTATTAGAATTTTAAATTTATACTCACTATACTTACGTACATCGCTTTCGCTTGTTTTCTACCGCGTGCTCCTCGTGTAACCTTAGCCTGCCCCTCATTCTCGTGGCCTTTTAATTCAGCGTTCAGTGGGCAGTACCAATAAGTATCTTTTACTGACATCGTTATCTCTTATAGCCTTCTCTACCCTGCTTTGTTTAAAACTTGTCTTGCCTCTTGAACGAAACGCATTGTCAGTTCGGCTTCCTCTCTTATTTTCGCCTGCCTTTACAATCCCTAGACGCAATAGTGCCATTGGGGCATATCTCTTTGTGCTACCTATGTGGTCCTGCGCCTTTGCAGGAAGCGTAAAGCGCGCAAGCAAACAAAATGACTCAACGATTGTGAGAGAGAGAGGACGGAGCTGAGCAAAGTTAGGTTTAAGGGTTGAGACTAGAACGGCCCTCAGGGCAGCTCATAGGCATCTTCTTTGCTATTGCAAGGAGCACTTTCCTCTGAGAGTCTCGACCCTTGATCAGCAAGGAGTGAAGTGTAGAACTGGGATGAGGTTTTCCTATGTGCCCTGCTTAAAGAGGCCTTGAAGGCGCCGTGATGCGCCGCCCACTTCCCGAGGCGATGATTGCATTAGACTCATTAGGGCAACGTCGCCATCCCGGCTTCTCCTCCCCATACCCCACCTTTAACACTGAAGCTATTTCCCAACTATGCCGATTTCTCAACCTAGTTTGTCTCTGTATTCGTTTGTCCGAAGTTCGTCATAACGATGATCATCATAATACCACAACCGTCGGCGGCCGTTAGCAGTGGTAACAGCCGTTCGAAGCAGATTAGCGGGCAAGTCAAACTTGATGGCCAATGCAGATTCTTAAACATCTTATCCATCCAGTGCGCTTACTATACTTAGCGAAGTAACTCTCTCTAGATTAATGCAGAGTACAGATATTACAGGCCAACATATGGCTAATCCAGTATATAATATCAAAAATGTTCGAGCTCGATTCCAGCTTTTATCAAAATGCTTGCCTATCTCCCCATTAATCACTCACAGAAGTCACCAGACTGCTACTTCTTGCTATCTTTGCTTCAAAGTAATTTGTTTTTTTTTTTGTTTGCATCCGTTTTTCAACCTGTTTGGGCGTCGGTTTGGTGAAGGACTTCTTGCGGTCACTACGCCATGATGCTGCAAATCAAGCGGCCTTTGTTTGTGGTTATCTTCTTCCCATTACACATATTCATCTATCGATACAGCTGTAGTGCTATAAGATTGTGGTGGAAACTACGTGACATCCGAATATAATGAGTTAACCGATTTGCCTGTTCTTGCTTTTTTCTATTTCTATTTCTCTAATTTGATAACTTTAGCCCCACCCTTCGTGGAATACGGATCACAAAGCGGTATCGGGGCTTACGGCGCAGTCTCTCGGCCAGATCCCGGTGGTTCAGCAGCAGCATCACCACCATCATCTTCAGCAGCATCAGGGCGTCACCGTGGCAACCATGGCGGGAGGGGGCAAATTTACAATACCTGTTCGCCCATCTATGGCGGACAGAGCGGGGGACAGTTCGGCAGCGATTCTAGTTCTTACACCGCAGACCATCAACATCGGATCGAACGGGACAGTGAGCAACGGGACGGGTGCGACATCGGTAGTGGGATCAAACGTCATAGGCAGCAGCAGCAGCAGCGGAGTAGTCAACGCCAACGACCGCGCACGTTCTATGGCCATGGCAATGAACAGCTCTCTTAGCAAATCGCAGCATAACCTCGCGCTAGAAGCCATGGGGATAGCTGGTAGCCAGGGCGGCCACCCTCACCATACGCTAGGCAGTAAACAACTCCAGGGTCAGTGGGTTCAGTGGCGCGGGACACGAGCTGGTCCTGCCAGTGCTGGCCAAGCTGGGCCTTATTCAGAAGCATCGAGCGTGTATTCGGCATTCGCGGACCACATCTACGAGTCGATTGACGTGGGAGGAGGAGCTGCGGCGTCAATGGTGCCTCCACCCGCGCCTGCAGACTCCACGCCCAATATACTCTACGGCAACACGGCCGACATGAGTCTAACATCAGCGGATGCGTATGAGCAACGCCAGCCATTAATCAGCAAGTATCCATCGATTTCGAATCAGCTCGACGCAACGTTGGCGCGTATGACACCATCTGAACGGGCGGCCACAACTCGCCGGGCGAAACAGATCGCTGCGTCCACACCTGTCGTCCAGGTAAATGGCCAACTGTTCACGCCACAGCAGCTGTATGAGGTGGCACTAACGCAGGCGCTGCAGGTGTCCGCTAAGATGGAAGAAGAGCGTGCAGCTGTCCAGCAACAGCTGTTAGCTGCCCAGCAAACGCCGTCGCCTCACGACAATCAGGTGATCGCCGTTCTTGACGGTGAGAAGGTCGTCAGCCGCATCAACCCATTAGATTCGCCATCCGGCTCGTCCAATTCCTCGTCGTCATCCGCGTCGTCCGATGGCAGCCCCAGCAGTGGTGGGCTTAGCAATCCCCAACCGCCGAGGTACAACCTAAGTACATATTGTTAATAATTAATGTACATACGAGGTCCGTCCAGGTTGATCGATACCAGATCCACCCCATTGGGCCATTAGACTAGGTTCAAAAGTAAGAAAGAAACAAAATGTGAAAAGTTCGACGTGAATACCTGTGTATGTTCTCGTCCTGTGTGTGCGCGTAACACGCATAATGCATTATGTATCAGGCCAGAATTTCTTTTGGAAACACGCAAAACAGTGAAGTATTGAGAAGCAAGAAATCGTCGCTGAAAAAGCCTCTGCATAAAGGTGTCCGAAGAATAAATTTGACTCATTGCGAATAATTAAAAAATAGAAGGCCAACAAGAAGCACACTGCTGTATCCGGACGCCGCCCCAGTGGAAATAAACAGAAAAACATGGACGCTGTTCGGTGGAAAAACAAGCTCTAAAAAGTACTTACAGTTTAATTGGTACACAGAAGTGTCGAGTACGAGAGCGAAAAGGCTGGGCGCAGCGAGCCGGCTGTATATTTATTCTGTGTATATTCCACTGCTATTAAGTGAAATACTGCCCCATCGTAGCACCTTCAGAACGACCAGACTGCCGTATCGGACAGCCCGAAGTTTGAAGGTGTTGTTGGAAGCCACTATAAGAACCCACCCATTGAATTGACCGCGCATGGACGGTCAAAACAGGGCAACAAACACAAGAACACCCGGAGAAACATGGTCTTTGTGATGCCGTTCGCCAGGGCCAATGTAACCACATACGCTGTAAAAAAAGATATTTGTCCAATGCTATTTAATACTAACGATGATAATAAATGAAGCCATTAAGTGTTCCGTAAAACCGTTACAACTATAGTGGAAATACTTGCCAGAGGCAGTTCTTACTTGGAGCTGCATTAAAACCGGGCCAAGGTATCCGACACTGTCGATTTTCCGTCAACACTACTTATACCGCAAACAAATATAAAAGTACTGTTAATTTTTCAGGCTCAAGAAAACGCCTGACCCAACCGAAAGAAAAAATCTGCCTCAAAATTCATTCATAAATCGAGTGTAACCCTAAAACTGAACAGAAACCCTAGAACAGAAAAAGAGAGAGAGAGAGAAAACAGGCGCCAGGCAATTCGGACGAAAAACATGATGGTGATCTATTGTGAAGATAACTGTAATTTCGATGGAAAATCTGAGTATCAGAAAGCTGAGTATCTTTAACTAGTATGCTAGATAATTATATAGAATCAAACACACAATCTTTGTTTGTATATATAAATGATGATGACAAAATGAGAAAGAAATATAAACAGAAACTACTTTCTGTTGCTACGAAAATATAACACGAAACAAAGAGTCGATGATGATCACGATGACGATAGTATAGTTTACAACAACGACAACAGTAACAATAAAAACAACAATAAAGCTGAAGGGATACAACGCAATGTGAAGTCGCCAACCACAAATAGGTTGACGACAACTGCCGGCGTGCCGCCACCACGACTGAAATCTCAATCAAAAAACCTGTTTTCTTTCTTTTTGCTTCGACATAGATATAATAGTAGCGATTTAAAAAATAAACATTCTGTATACACTGTGTATACCAGACGTCAGGCGAAGAGTGAAATGACTGCTATAAGCTGGAAGACTAAATACAACAGCAGCAAAGAATTGACCCAGCGATTTCTTCTAGTCGAAAGCCGGCCCATTCAGGCAAGACACGTAAATAACACGACAAAGCTGGCGTTTTCGAAGAAATTTTCGATTTTATGCATTGTAGCATCCCCAATAAAGACACACTGACACGCACGGACGCAGACAGTACTACAGAGGTACATTGAGATTATTATATTGTGTGCAAAAGTCACCTTACACTGCAATTGCTCGAGCCGCTTCCTTGAAAATAACCACGATAATTATTCCTATTATTACAATGATTGATGAAATGTCTTTTGTGCATACCATGTACATACATTATACATATAAACATTGCTGCAAGTAAAAATAAAGATGATAAGAAGATACTTTCACACTTCGATGATAACAGGAAGCAATCAATTATTTCATAAAGATCGACAACTTTTGCAGAATGAAAAAAAAAATGGGGGGAAAAGAGATAGTAAACACTCAGGGGAGTACCTAAAACAGTATATAGGTCCTAATAAATTGGTCACTTTGGAATAGTCTAAGTTGAAGAAGGCGGTAGTTCGATTGGTATCAACTAGAATTCGCCGAAACGTTAGCGCGTCATAATCGAGCGCCGGATCACAGATGAGGGTATTCACCGTAGTCACTGAGCAGACGACGCACGGACACCGATCACTCCTTTAACGAGAATTAGGTAGGGAGGAAGGGTCGAATAATTGACAAACGATTGGTTATTGATATTGGTTTCGATTTATGTGCAGCCCGAAGGGTAAAGGCAGAGAGAAATGACGGAGCGAAAGCAAGAGCGCTGACCCAGTTGTGCTTCCAAGCTTTCCCAGTCACCCATGCGGTTCGCGGGCTGGCGTTGAAACACCTCACACGACTCAGTTGGACACTGCAGTTTCGTCTGCTTCATATAATATTTTTCAATGGCAATTCGGCCAAATATGGCCGTAAGTTTCGCTTTTGTAAATATTCTCCCGTTACACCCGCGCACACACAGGGACACGCATGCACCATACGCAGATGAGCACACGATAAACCCAATAGAATTGACACCTACATAAGGCGACAGATAGGGCGCAGGCATGGTTACGTAGAGAACTGAAACCGCTAGCGCTCACTGTATGTACAGTGTAAGGACATACAAACAAAATCGAATAGCCGGACACATCAAGGTGGCAAACAACTGAACAATGCTACCCCCTGTGGAAAGAATCAAGAAATCAGGCAAACTGACCTTGAGCACGCGCTGAAAATGTAATCGGACCGACCCTTGCGTACACGTGAATTAGATAGACTATAGACTAACTACAGGAACGGATAAAATAGCACACAAAGCTCAACGATCATATTTTCCAGTATGAAGGAAAGACAAGCCTTACTGATATCGAAGCGTACGTATAAAAGATCAGTAATTGCCGACGCGAGTAGAACGGGCTGTTTTCGTACATACAGAATACAAACACGTCTGATGTTGCGTCGGATGCCAGGTGTGTGTGCGCGTGACACATTTGTTTCAGTTCACGATTACGTACATATGGTAATTTCCGATGATAGTATCATTGAAACTACTATTATCACTGATAGAAGATTAAGCACCAGTCGAACGGAATAAAGATACTAACACTATAGACGATGTCAATAAGTAGTAGCCGAATGAATATGATCATGAAGGTACTAATAAAGACTATGTAAGTAAGTATTGAAATGCCGAGGGGTTCAAAGAATACACACGAATAGAGACAAAGCGTGGACAAAACGCACTGTACCCGCACAAGTTTAATTAGGAAAAGTTGTCTATTGGCCTTGAACCTAGTTAGAACCGATTTAGAGGCTGCGCGCTCGGGGCCGCTTGTGTAGTTTATATTGATAATCTAATCACTCATATTCGTATGCTTGGATCGTGCCCAAATGTAAACAACCCTGTGTATAAAGATCTTGGTCAGTTTTTTAACTTAAGCTGTTTTTTTTTTTTTTTTTTTTCGCTCCTCTTTCAATTAATATACACTCTACTTGTACCTATACCTTACGAGGTGTTAGAAATAGATAAAACTTTTACCTGGATGATCGTTTTGTTGACTCGTCGTACTGTGAAGCCGACAATTGTTTTAGTTGCCATTCTATTCGTTTGTTTGTTTGTTGTCAATGGCTGGTTTCGACCTTTCCTGGTAACCGCTTTCCTCCGCTATCTTTCGATTACGTTTTAGTCTCGATTGAACAAAAGCGAAGACGAACTCCATATAGCGCGCGGCACTCGATCTCGAGGCGAAGACAAAAAGCACGGGGTTGTCCGTCAAAGACCGACAGACGGACACGGAACGGAACACGTTCTTTAGCGCGCTACGCAATAGCGAAACTGAGACGAAAAAGGGCGGTAGGGCATGCGGGCGAACGAGAAACTTAAACGACAGACAGGGAACGATCGCTCTACAGCAACAGGAACAGAGTAGCAGTATAGAAAAGGTCATCGGAAAAGTCGAAGTAAAACCGGAAGCCCCCCCCCCCCCCCGGAAAAGTAGACTGTATAGGGGGCTAGCTGTAGGCATAGGGGAAAAGCAAACGTTTTCGAGAAAGATGTTAACGCCGATGAGAAAACGAAAAAATGGGCGGGGATGAAAGCAAAATGGTGAAATTCCAATAATATGTCCTGTGTGACAGTATGGGATGAGAAAGATTTCGATAGACCGATAGTAACGTTGATGGTAATGGTGATGAGGATGACGATCATACTGACGATGACAACCTTGTTGATAATGGGGGTGAGGAACGCATTCTATTGTATGAAAGAAACTGAGAGTGTCAAGACAAAGTAAGACACGGAAACAAACACACACTCACACACACACACACACACACACACACACACACACATACACCCTAACATGATTTGAGACGATGAGAGCTATTTAGAAAAAAAAAAAGAAAGGAACAGGTAAAAATGAAGAACTTCAATATAACTTGAGGAGAAACACATTGCGTTGATGTACAGAAAGTGCCAAAATAAACGTTTTCCAGCTGAACTAATCTTTGTTTTTCTTTGTTGGAACTCGCTAGAATAGCATACATTTAATATAATAAGCTGATATGATAATAATTGGCTTATGCAACGGTACGATTTTTAAAATTAGAGCCATAAACGTTTTGGCGAAAAAGTTGTTCATATTGAACATATTTGATTGACTATAAATAAAAGCCGAGTTTGAAAACTGCTTTTGCTTATAATATTTAGAGCGTGAAAATGTGTGTGCGTGTGTGTGTGTGTGTGTGTGTGTGTGTGTGTCTGTATAGGCTCGTTTATACTGCTGGGTAAATAAAATATTATAACACAATGAATATTTGAAATATTTAAATGTATTGCTATTTACTAGGGGAACAGGCCGTAGCCTTAGGCTGAAACCAATCCGTTATCTTGTAGCAAATCCCATTGTATTGATTACCTATGAATAATCATTTGACTTATTTTTCAAGAGAATGACAAACTCTAGGCTTTTATACCTCTCGACAGGCATGGTCTTCCTTGGCCTAAGGTAGTGCAAACCTCCGGTTTCCTGGCTTGTGGCGCAACAGTGACCACTAGCATACGGTAGGTCTTGGCAACAGTAATTCTATCTTCAGATTTTATGTCAGACAACTATGATGACAAGCCAACGTTGTTTCTACATGAATAATGCTGCCAGCAAACAGCGCAATACGTATTTGTGTAGTATCTGCTCCTGGATAAATTTTAGAGATTTCGTTTTTTCGTGTCTGATTATTGTAGGCCACTTAATAATGGTGGGATAATTTGACGGGGTCACAAATATACGTATGAAACTTCGTAAAAACGAGAACTCAATCGTTGTTCTTCTCTTCGAATTAGGAGCTGAATGGACAAAAAAAAAGTTAAGCTTGCTTCATTAATTCGTGCACCAGATGGCCACTGAAAAGTTTGTCCATTATGTCAAATGCTGTGTGGAACTCTCGATGGTCCTTCGGCAGTACTGAACATCTCTTCAGTTCTAAATGGCATTTAGAAGTTGGAGCTTATTCATTTAATCTATTGTTGGAGCTATATCGAGTCTGATGGAAAGTCGGTAAGTTAGAAAAACATAATTTGCTGACAGCTAGGAACTTTACATTCAGCTGAATATCAATACGCCTGTCCTATTACTGCCGTAACTCAATTTTAGGTCAATCGGCTTGTCGTTAGACGAGACCTTAATACTATAAATTATAATGCAACTGTATTAGTCTATCTGAGAGGATCATTTTAGCAAACCGTACAAAGTTCTATTTCTCAGCTCCGCAATAACAACAGCAAGAACGAGAACAATAAAATATGCATGTCCTCTACCCGTATCCATTTTATTATGATTTATTTCGACTTGGCCCCATCGTTGTCTACTATGTGTTACAATTTAGATAGTGTTACATGATAGTTTGGCTGAATGTAAACGTGTCGTCCTTAGAATCGATTGTCCTAGCCGCATCATTTACTTTCGCTTTGCAGCTGTACAAGCAGGCCTCAGAGATCCGTATAAATATGGTGCGTCAATGACGTGCCTTACCATCCGATATGAGATAAGCGGCAAGTTTATTATACCAACACCGTCCATCAATCCCACGCTAACGTACCTCGAACACAGTTTTTCAATAGTCTCGTAATAAAGTAAAGGTCATACCAGCATCTAAAACCCGAGTAAGTTTTAGTTTTATATCTATATAAAAGGTATGGCATTGCATTGAGCCCGCAGTCGAGGTGGGTGTTGGTTATAATATATAAACATGACCGTTGTGAATGACATTTCTATATAAATAACAATATATATATATATATATATATATACACTATAAACGCATTGGCAATAGTAATAGTAATTAAATAAGAATCTTATTATCAAGTTATCTAATTAAAATATCACTTCTAATAAATACGTAATAATTGTGCTACAGAGGTAAAACTATCAGATTATATCGAATCCAGATTACATTATTTCCGCCGTTACGCTATTTCTTGGAATTTAATGGCGCTAGCAGGTTATACCGTGCGACGTCTGTATCAGAACAAGACGTTATGACCCGCAGTTCAGACGATCGATAAACATTTACGTAGTCTGCACCCCGGAACAGAAGATCCGTCCCATCTTGGAGCTCTTCACAACTACGCCGAGAAATCCTGCTTATGACCCAGGCATTTTCTCCATAACTAGTCGTATAGATAACAAGACTCCATTGGTAAGAGTTGGCGTGGTCCGGCATCATCGTCTTCTGCCACCTTGTCCCATCCAGAGAGGAATCGTGGAACTGTGTGGAAACGTGCCGCTCGTGCGTCTAACCGTTTCATCTCATTGCACGCAGCGGTAAACTTGGTTTAAACGCGGCACGCATGGATTGATTCGTTATTACTTCTGTCGTTGTTGTTCTTGTTACAAAAAAAAAAGCATACACACCAACAATGTCGACTGCTTTTAACATCTAACCCCGTTATTTGGAAGTCATTAAACGACTTAGCTTGTGCATTATTACATTTTCCCAATGGGATATACGTCGTGAAGACTGTGGCGTGCAGCTAGGACATGTGAGAACAATAACGGTGTTGATTGATAGTAGCATATGGAGAACCATATATCCACCTTCTACATGCACAAGTTAAATAAACCCATGGTGTCTTTTACACAGCAGATGACAAAAAAAATTTATGACGTTTTTTAAACTTTAAGTCCGATGTAAAAATACCTAAAAAGCGTTACCTATATTTAATGATGTAGATCGAATCGATTACAGATTTATATAGTCTTCTAGCTGTCAGTTTTTACAAAGCTTCTTCAAGAGCGGTATTTCCCGTAAAAAAATAGTCAACAGGTACAAGGTAATGGTTGTCCGTGCGTAGCAGCAATCTGCGATGCTTTAGTACATCGTTTAGTGTACAAATTGAGTGAACAATGTTATGATTTTATTGACATTAGTCGAACAGATGCTGGCCGAGATGAGCAACGATCCCTATATAGTTAATGTTTTTGTCCTAGAACGAAAAACGTGGCCCACGTTAGACTCGATCTGCCTGTGTACCTGCTTATTTCTCCAACGTAAAGACACTCTGCTGTTGTTCGCTGTCAGCCCTTTGAAGTAGGCTTTTAAAAGATTTTCATCCACGTAATCTATTTATGTCAAAACAAGATCTGCGAAATGCGACTATTTAAAATATGCCCATCCGATAATGAATCGTCCATCCTTAATCAACGAGGTAGATGCAAGCTTTTTACAAACTAACTTCAAATAGTCATCTCGTAAGCTAGGCTAATGTCAAAAAACAAATGCAGAAATAGTCGAATGATTATATACGATAGAGGACCAATCCAATGATCGTCTATTGATCAAAGAGTCGCGCTATTGAAAACCCAAATCGCTGCTATATTTTTTTAATGAATATGAGCAGTGCCCAAAGGCGTACACTTGACCCAAAGCATATTGTTAGCTCTCCCGTGTCGATTATATGAGCTATTCAAATCTGCCGAACCCCAACCTACGTTTGGGTCTGTTTAGTTGTATAAGAAGAGGCGTGGGTTGACTAAGGAAGTAACGCTTCGCTAGCTATGCTTTCATAGAAAATGGTCTGGACATTAATGTGCTATACCGTTACTTTAATATGTACTCTCAGTCAACCGAAACTCATTAACTGGTCCTCGTCGATTCGAGACCCAGTTAACAGAGGTGGTTAACGTGCCGCATGCATAAGATGTAGGAGCGACTGCCAAAAACCCACAGCCCGTCGAAGAAAAGAACGTTCAGCACGTTTTTGTCTTGTTTCCATTAACTTAGCATAAAAAAGCTTGTTCCTAAATATCAAATATAAACATATAACGGACATCCCATCATCCATTTACAATAAATGGTTTTTATAAAGTATTACAGTAATCGCGGTCGCTTGATTAGTAACGGCTTTCTGCTATTGTATATGATCGAATACGATCACGATCAGATTTTATGTAAAGGCTCTAAATTTATACTACATCATTGGGACTATAACGGACAGAAGGCCGAGCAGGCCATAGAGTATGCTATGCTTCGAAGGTTTGTGCCAGACATTGCAATAATGAAAGCAGCTTTTGTCACCTACGAGTTCAACCGTAGAAAAATCCAATAGACATAATGAATACGACAACAGATGTAGTAACAATGGTAATAACTTTTTTAGCCCCACAGATGAAATAGATAGCGTGTGTCATGGGTGGAACGACCTATATCTGAATTGTGTACACAATATATACATTAATATATAACGAATACGTTTATAGATAAACGTAGAGTTTTGATAGAAAAAGCTATGCTTAAAGGATTGCAATTTGAAGGTTTTTGCTCCGTTCATCATTTTGCAAGACGTTGTAGACAATACTCAAGGGCAGTTAGTCAAAAGCGCTGCATGTAAATTATGTCGTAATTAATAAGCTAACAATTAACAAGATTTATATTATTTGTATTTATTGTACGTTTTTTTTTGCTAGCAAAAGCCGCTATTAACAAAACT